TGTGGAAAAGGGAAGGCAAACCACCCCCCCGCCCCAGGCTAAGAGGGGGCCAGAGCCAGGGGAGGTCGTACAAGTGACACGGCAACGAATCAGGTGGTGGTTCTCGGGTGGTGGTGTGTTGACGTCGAAAGTGCCAAGACCGTCCTCCTCACTGTCGCCAGCCAAGGTCCCTCACCCTGAGCTGCTCTGATAGTCATTGGCCAGCCGTGGCCCCGTCACCACCCCCTGTGTTACTGGCACGGGCGCGTCCGTAACTGGCACCATCCGCCTGCTGGCCTGAGAAGGGGCCTGAGGTTGCAGCAGGAGAAACTGAGGTCCAGCTACGGGAGCTGGTCGGGAGGAGGACTAGGCCAGAGGTCTGGGGAGGAGAGATGAGCATGTTTAGGAGGAGTGCTGATGGAGATGCTCTGAGAGGAGGGGGAAGATCTGGTGAGTGATCGCCCTCTGTCATCGTGGCGGCCACACAGCCCTGGGAACCAGGTCATGTGGGAGAAAGACCAGCTGCCAGAGATGCTGACGCAGTGGGTGTGGGGTCATTGATGGCACAGGCAGATTCCTGAGGTGCTCTTTTCTCTCTGAGGAATATCTCAGAAAGCAAAAGTTTGTACAATTTTGATTTTTTAAAGTTTATTTATTCTGAGAGTGAGTGAGTGAGTGGGGAGGAGCAGAGGGAGAGAGAACCCCAAGCAGGTTCTATGCTGTCGGTGCAGAGCCCAACATGGGGTTTGAACTCACAAACAGTAAGATCATTACCTGAGCTGAAATCAAGAGTTGGACACTTAACTGACTGAGCCACCCAGGTGCCTTCAGTTTTGAGTTTTGATTATAATAAGTGCGTATTCATGTGACATTCACCCACCAAATATTTCTTTTTCCTTTTTAAATTTATTTACTTATTTTTAAGTAAGTTAAGTAGAGCGTAGTATTGATTTCCGGAGCAGAACCTAGTGATTCATCACTTAAATATTATTTTAATGTAAAAATTGGATGGTTCCATTTTAAAAAAAGAGAGGACTTTATACTCATGTGAATGTTGTAAATGGTAGATCTATATTATCTTTTATTATTTATACATTTATCTTTATTACTATCTTTGCTTCCTGTTTTCATTCACACAATGTTTGTAGGTGACATCAGACTCTTTATTAAATTTAAAGTGCACCAGGAGGTGAGACTGTGGCTTTTTGACCTGGACCTTGGGGACAGATGCGATTCTAACAGGGAAGGGCAGATAGTGCTCCTGGTGGAGGGAAGGTGAGGTTGAGGCCACAGGGGTGAGTTCAGGCAGCGTGCAGCTCCTGTGGTTGGTGGGGAGGCGCTGGGAATGGACATGGGGAGGCAGGTCCCGAGAGCCTGGAGGCGGGGTTAGGAGCTTGGGTTTACCTTTGGTAATGAGAGACCCTTTGAAAGAGAGGATAACACAGGTCAAGATGGAATGGGACTGAGGTATCAGGGGCGATGGTAGAGATGACGAGTCCAGTGACAGAAATACAGAGATCGCACTGCATAGCCGTCAGGGCGGTGGCCTGTCTGACTCTGAGCCCCCGATGAGGCAGGAGAGACTTAGCTCTTGGCTGGAGACATGGGGTTGACTGTTCAGGAAAAGTCTGGTTTGGGAATTAGGATGAAAATTGAGCGCATAGTTTGGAGATAGAGAAGGCTTAGGAAAACCACCTGGGAAAGCCTCCTTTCTCAGGAAAGAGAAGCAGCAGACGGGCAGTGCTGGGGGATGGGTGTGTGGAAGCAACAGAGTGGGACATGGGACAGTCACCTCCATGAGCAGGGAGGTCTGGGAATGGGTCCTCACTCCCGGGCAGCTGGTGACATTAGATGGAGAGGTTTCGAAAGAGCGTCTGGGGACGGAACCCCGGAAGGTGGGTTGTGAGGGTGGCCAGGATAAGGTCTGTCGGATTGTTGGAGCTTTCCATTCACAATGACCCCTCCCTGTCCACCTCAGCTCCGCTCTGCCGTTTGCAGGTGACACCCAGTGACATCCCTATCACCTCTGCCCATTGACATTTTCTGTCTGCTTGCCTTTACGTCTCTGCTGACCTCTGGCCCTTAATCTCGATTCTACCCACAGACTCAGGGCCAAAGCCACCTCTGAACTCCAGCTCCCACCTGCACATCCCTTTTTCACCAAAGCAACGCGTTTTGAGGGTTTACAAGAAGAAATGAGGCAAAAAACAATAAAGATAAAAGACATTCCTCATAAACAGGAGACAGCAACAAAAAAAATCTAAAATCTATTTTTCTGACCTCGGTGGGAGGATCTGGTAAATGAAGCCCACACTTTCAGTTAGCAGCACACCCTTATCTCCGGCCCACAACTGCCTTCTTGTTTTACTTGTTTTTCTGCTTAATTACTGTCCCCCCACCTCCCATGGCAACTCTTTAAAGTCTTTGCTGGATTTTTATTTGTAGGTGGCTTGGAAAAACGTACTTCTGCGCAGCGTGCTTAATAACAAAACACCGCTGTAGGCTCACCTATCTCTTGTGTTTCCACTCTGCACGTTTTAGGGGTCAGCCCACGCTCTGCGTGTCACATAGTCCCCGTGGCCACAGGCAGCTGCCACCTTGCCCTCCCCCATTCCCAAGGGTGGGCTGGACATGAGCCCAGCTCCCTGGTACCGCAGTGATGCTGCTGTGAGCCTAGGAACTCCTGGGACATCTACTCAGAAACCGGCCCCTGGATCACAGAGGAAGGTGTGTGCAGGAGCCGTGCCTTCGCCAGCACAGCTGTGCCCAGCCTGCCGTTGGTCTGTGCTTCAGGGACGTGTCCCCACGCCCAGCGTTATTCGGTTGTCTGACCTTTGTTGGTCTTGTTGTTCGCTCCCCTCTGTCTAATCACTGGTGAGTCTGCACGTTGGTTCACACGCACTAGGCATTTCCCTGTGCTCCTCTGTGCCTACCCTATTCGTGTCCTTTGCAAACTTTCCCTCGGGCTCCTGCCTCCTTCCTGACCTGTAGGCTTCCCTTCTCATATTCCACACCTGAGTCTCTTCAGTTCCAGCCGTGTGGGCATCATCTCAGCTGGCATTTCCCAGTGAGCTCTGTCCCCGCTGCTGTCCCTGGCCCGCAGTGTCGAATGCTGATGTAATAAGATGATTCCCGTGCTTTTGGGGGTCCATTTTCAGATGTTTTTCCCTACCCACAGGCCACAGTTTACTCTCTAACATTATTTTTTTACTAACATAATAGCTTCACCTTACACTTGGGTCTTTAATCCAGCTCGACTCTACCTTCATATATGGCTCCAGGAAGGAACTGGCTGGATTTTTCTCTATTGTTGGAAGTCATTTTTCACAACATGGTCTTGTCTAGATTCTGTCCCTTCTCTCACTGATTTATGTCCTATTTTTAACCTCCTTTGTAAAGATGGGTCTGTCCGTGAGCTCTGCCCTCTCCCATTTTTTGTGTGATCTTGTCCCAGCACCGTACAGCGTTACCACCACGGCTTTGTGGGTCTTCTGTGCCTTCTGTAACCAATGTAACAAGAGGTTATGAGAAGCATATTTCCAGAGCCCTGTGTCAACACCCACACATTTTCGTTCCACCCATGCCTTTAACTTGTTAAAGACCTATGTCAGTATCAATACCAGATTTGTTCATTTTTGTTTATCAAAAAACCTGGAAGCAAACTTTTTTAGAAACTGAAATCATTAACTATGTCCCTAGCTTCAGGGACACAGGGACCCACCGAGACACTGATTTAGGATTTAGACAGAGGCTGAGCCTCCTTGGGCTGCGGGTTTGCATCCCACAGAGGCTGTTGTCCACCGTCACCAGGACAGGGTGGGGACGTGGCACCAGAGGCTTCACATCTGCTAAGTCAGTCCCTCTAGAGTGGCTTCCCTGGTGTGGGGAGTCTCAGGGATTAACACATGCCATTTAGATGTTGGGAGAAACACATCCTGAAGTCAAGAGGAAAAGGTTCTGTTACTATGTTGTTTTTGTGTAGTAAAGAATTTTAAAAATTACCCATTGCTTTTCCCCACGTCCTCCACTCAGTGAGCTCTGGCGCCCTCACCCCAGGCATGGTGTTTTCAGGACTCTGGTTTTGGGCGGAACTTTACTTCAGCTTCATCCAGGGATCAAGGTCCCCATGTGTGTCCCAGAGAGTGCCCCTCACCCTGGGGCTGACACACAGGCACATACATCTCTCTAGAGGTGGCTTCACTACAGCAGCAGAAAGTTCAGAAAAGAAGAAAAGACATGGGGGCGTTGGTTGGCTCAGGGCGCAGGAGGAGGAGAGACTTTGTGCAGTGCAGGCGAGTTTCACTGAGGCTTGGAAAGGGCTGCCTCTAAAGAGTCCTGGGGAGGGGGCCTGGCTCCCTGTTCTGGCTCCTGTGTTTCTCTGGAGCAGCCTGATGCGTGTGTTGGGAGGGGTGTTGGCCCGGGTTTGCTGGCTGTGAGACTTGCGTCACATCGCGCCCGCTGACCCTTGTGTGGTGTCAACTTGCGTCACATCGCGCCCACTGACCCTTGTGTGGTGTCAACTTGCATCACATCGCGCCCGCTGACCCTCGTGTGGTATGGACTTGTGTCACATCGCGCCCTCTGACCCTCGTGTGGTATGGACTTGTGTCACATCGCGCCCTCTGACCCTCCTGTGGTGTTGATATGAGATGGAGGCCATCCTGTTGCACCCAGTGTGGTGAAGATTGAGAGACATGCAGCTTATAGTGGAAAACCACTGCACAAACCCTAGGCCTTGTCTCTGTCCCTCTTGCTCACTTCAATGTGGGGTCTCTCCTCACTCACCCCGTGGCCTGGGGGCACCAAGCAGCAGTGGGGGAGCCCAGCTGAGCAGGGGTGTGTGCCCACTGTGTGTGATGTGCATCTGTGCGTGTTCACGAGCATGAGGTGGACAGGGAGGTATCCCTGCATCACGGACACGATGCCACACGGGAAATGGGACTGAAAGGAATATTCAGAGGCTGAAGGGTGAGGAGGGGACCATCTGACCACTGAGTCTCAGGGAGCCCCCTTTTCTGCAGCTTCTGGGTGACAGTGGGACCTATAGGCTGGGGGCTGAGCCGGAGACCCAGCAGCAGCCAGAGCAGCTGGAGGACGTGCCAGCACAGGTGGCCAGAATCCCGGACATGTCCCGGGCACTGACGCAGCTCTGCAGCCTGGTCACAGATCTGGAGAAGACCGCAAGGGGCTGGGCGCCAACACACTGAAGGTGCGGACCCCGAGGTAGTGTGAGAGGGACGGGCTCCCCCGCCTCCTGCAGTGGTGGCTCGACCAAGTGCAGGGTGCTGCTGCAGCAGAGCAGGCTGCCGGGGACAGGTGCATGTGCTCTATTCTGGGGGTGCCCCCAGGGTGGCATCCAGCAACAGGCTAGGGAGGGGACGTGGAGGGCCGCAACCTCTGAGAGCCAACTGTGTCTCACTGTCCTCCTCTGTCTACTCGGATGCTGGCGACCTTCCGGACAGCTAGGAGCTGCCTGGGTCCCACGTGAACCCTCGCAAGCATAGAGCTGCGCACAGACTCCCCTGAGTTCTAGGGGGTCGCTGCTCCCTTGGCTCCTGCACCTTCATGCCATTTGGCCTGCGGAAGGTTTGACAGGATGTACTGAAGGATTTCCTTGTTTCTAGGAGCACCCCACGGAAACTCAAGGCCACTTCCCCCAAGTTAGAGGAAAGAATTGGCCCCCCTTCTCTAGCCAACCCCAGTGGCTCTGACCTGCTTGGCCCTGGGCCACCTCGTCACAGACTCTTCTTACTCCAGCCTGTCCACCCTCCACTGGGTCTGCCCAGCATGTCCCCTCCCATCTCCTGAATAGGACCCCCTTTCCTCGTCCCCACAGCTGTGACCTGATGCCAGACCCTCTGACCCGGGGATGGTAGTCAGCCTCCTTCCTGCACCACCCTCATGCTCATTGTCACAGCTGCCCCTGCACAGCTGGCTCCAGGGTCTCCATCTCCCCTGTGAATGGGTGGCAGTACCCACCTCTCATGATTTCGCCCACCTGAGTTCACGGTGGGTGAAGCCACCTATGCACATGGGGCTGGCAGGTCTGCACCAGTCACCTGGCACCTACTCATTATCTTCGTGGCAGACCCACTCCAGGACCCCCGGCCAGGCTGATGAAGGAAGCAGCCTGTGACAAGGACTGGCAGGCAGCCTCTGGCTTTCAGTCAGCAGGTCTCATTGCTGTGAGAACATGTACTCTGCCAACAGTCGGAATGCACTTGGAAACTGAGCCCCTGGATGAGAACACAGCCCGGCTGGCCCTGGACCACATCCTCTCTCATCAGACCCTGAGCACAGGACCCCGCCCAGCTATGCTGACATTTCTGACCCACAAAGCTGTGATACTGTTTTAAGACCCCAAACCTGTGGTGGCTTTTACAGAACAGTGGATAATACATTTGTAGTTCAATTATTTGGAGTGAGTGATGCCAGTCGTCTGTGTCCCCAGTGTCAAGGTCAGCGCCTGGCTCGCAGCTGGTGTCCAGCAAGTTTTGCTGAGTGGATGCATGGATGAGTTTGCAGGAAGCACAAGGCCCTCCTTGGTGCTCCACATACAGCAGAAAGAGCCTGTAACCCATGTCTATCGAGTCCTTGCTGACGTGGGCAGGACCGTCTCGGCACTGAAGGAGGCCAAGAACAACACGTGGCCACGAGGAGGTGGCGCTTGCTGTAGTGTGGGAAGAGTTTGGAGCTGAGTTCAAGTCCTATCCTGACCTCAAACAGCTCTGCAGCCCTTGAGAAGGTCTTTAGTCGCTTGGAGCCGAAAGGGGGCAGCGGTACCTGGGGGATAGTTGTAAGAAGTCGGTGTCATCATACCTGCTGGGCGTCTGTGCCTAACTGTAAACATCCAGATGTGTTAACGCCGCCTCTTGTTCTGCTGCTCCATCCAGAAGCCTGTGGTCTGGCTGCGGAGCCAGGACAAACACCCACAGAAGAAGCCTACTAAGCGCACAGGGGCTTCCGAGCGAGGCGGAGTGAGGCTGGGTCCTGGGTTGGCTCGAGGGGGATGTGGGGACTGGATAGTGGGAAAGAAAGGTGAGCATCAGGCAGGATGGCTCCAAGAAGGGAAGCGTAAGGTAGGGAACAGCCACCGTACATTTGTAGCAGTGCAAGAAGTCTGGCCTGGTTACTCTGGAATTTTTAGGAGTCAGGGAGGGCAGAGCTGGAAGGGTCGCACCGGGACACAAGCGGTCTCAGATGGTTGTGTTGGGAGCAGCATGGGGCATTTAAGGAGAACCACTCTGACTCTCGTGCCACGTGGACTGGGGGACCTGGGGCAGGGGCCTAAGGAGGCCTCTGTGTGGATGTTCCGAAAAGGGAGGGGACGGTGACCTGGCAGGGAGCTGTAGGTGTCAGAGGAACAGGAGACCTGGAATCAGGCAATAGGACGTTGGCCAAGAGCAGCCCTGGAGGTGACGGTGAGAATGCCTGCATCCTGGTTGGGACTAATGTCACACAGAATTGTCCACAGGTGGGCTGCCGGGGCCGGGAGGAGGCGGCAGCCTCAGGGTCTCTGCGCCTGCAGGAGCCTGCCCAGCTCTCCGTCCCCTTCCCGCCCGCCCAGCCGACGCCCAGCCAGGCCCGCCTGTGAGGGGAGGGACAGTAATCACTGAACACCAGGTTCTTCTGGGGATCAGAATGGGTCCCCAGGGAACATGTCGCCAGGCTGCAGGAAGAGCTACAGTGGAAGGAGCCAGAGTGGCACGCAGCCGCGTATTGGAGCAGGTGTCCACGACCCGTCCTGCTGAGTGGCCCCAGGGCCACCTTGTCTCTGGGCCTCAGGTCCTCTTCCGTCAGTTCTGGACACACAGACGCGAGTCTGTGAGCGGGGGCGTGGAGCCAAGCCACCTGAGCCTAGTGTGCGCCCTGCAATGCGCCCACGTGCCCTTCGCCACCTGCTCCTTTAGGACAGTTGTCAGCCCACCCCACAGCGCTGTGGTGAGAGTCAGCATATAAATACTCAGTACGGTGACTGGCCAGGAGGAGGGCTGTGTGCATCTGCTGTTATTATTAGCATTTTAAAATCTCTATTCCTTGCTCTGAGGCCTGGTTTGGCGCCCTCAGCGTCCTGGCCACAGCTTCCCATGAGGCCTGGGGAGGAAAATCCCATTTTCCTTATTTGCATGTCTGTTTTCCTAGTATTTTGAGCTAAGTTGAGAGAGCCTACGTTCTTGGTAATGGAAAGAGCTGCCACTGTGCCAGCTGTGAGGACTCAGGTGCAGCCCTGCGGGGGTCCTGCAGGGGGCGATGGGGAGCCTCAGCCCTTAGCAGAGCACAGAACTTCATCAAGTCACCGTGTTTCAGGATCTACCCTCTTCCCCTGCACGGACACCACACTCCAGGTCGGGTAAACATCAAAGGAAATCACGCCAGCAGGGGTGAGGGGTGGATGGTCAACATGAGTGTTTTCATGCACTAGTGGTTGTGCTTCTCAGTGTGAGAAACACACGCTGAGTCACAGTCATGCGGAGTTTGGCTGCAATGACTTGTTCACCAGGACCCACCACGCCTGTCTTCGGACAATGGGTGGTTAGGACCCATTGGTCAGATGTGGATTAGACCCTGGCTACACCATCTCTGAGGTGCACACAACCCAAACTCACCAGTGCACGGCTTCCTTCCCTTCAGGACGGGACAGGAAGGGGACGTGCCTCATGGAGTGGCCAAAGTTAGGGGACGGCCGTAATGTGCTTAGGTCCCCCCACAGGTGGGGGCCCTGGGGGCTAGACCCCCCTAACACCACTCAAACAGAAGAACACAATCCGCCTTTTGGTGGAACCCCAGCTTTCGGGGCTTTGGGTGCGTATCATCATACAGAGACCTGTTATGTGTCTGTTGTTTTGAATATACAACGTTTTGTATGAAACACAACTTATAGACACTGTGAACGTGCCCAGAGGTAGTAATCAGCCCCTGGCAGTTCCTGCTCCTGGTACCCTCACCTCTTTCACCTGCCGGCCTGGGCACCAGCGGGGAGGTGGCCCCACATGTAGTCTGTGTGGAAGCAGAGCGAACACAGAGAATACTGAAGAGGTTGTGGTGAGGGCTGTGTCCAAGCAGGAAGAAAGACAATGACTAAAATGTGTGAGGACAATGCTTTTATTGCACACAGGAGCTAACATTCCGCCCGGGCGACTGAAGCCCTTCTCCACGTTCTAGTGCTTGTCCCCATCCCAGAACCACACCGGATGGCACCCCCGTACCACGCGGCGCCACGCGGCCCCACGCAGCCGGGTCTCTCCTGGTGCCCTCCCCATGCCCTTCTCCGAGCCTGGCTCCCTCCTCTCTCCCTGATGTCTGGAGCCACATCAGCTCTGGTGAGGGTCATCCAGCCCACCCCCCGCCTGCGATTCTGCACCCCTGCATCTCAGCCTCCACCCCTGCCCACACTTTCCAGACCCCAGGTGGAGATCAGCAGAACGGAGTAAGATTCTCTGTAGGGGAAAATTGGGTCTGTGGGTTACGGCCTCACCTCCCAGCATGGCCCACACCTGGTCTCAGGCAGAAGAGCACCCCCCAGGTGAGGGAGGTCTCAGTGGTGTCAGAGTCTCAGGAGGATCGTGGCCCAGATTGGCCAGCAGTCAGCCATCCTTCCTTTCCTCACCGAGCACACTCATCTCTCAGAGCTGGCCTTTCCAGAGAGCCCTCCTGGGGGGTCGGGCCTGTCCTCTGAGCTCCCCAATGGCCAGGGCGGCCCCACCCCAGCCTCCGTCAACCTCGCTGCCATGATCTCTGCCTGGGGCATGAGTTCCTTCAGATACTGAAGTTTTTCCTGGTTCACGGTCAGCACATAGGAAATGATTCTGGAGGGTTCGAGTTTTGGAGAGAAGATGTGATGAAGACACGTGCCCTGCCTGAGATCACACAGCTGGTCAGTCTCAGGGTGGTCTAGTGCCTGGTCTTGTGGCTCCAGACCTGGGGTTCGCCAGGGTCCGCGCCCCCCATGCACGGGCATCCGCTGGGGGTCCTGGAAGGAGCTGGACCAGCAGACTGCAGGGACCCCCTCGGTCCTTGCCAAGTCCTCAGCCCATCGCATTTCTGTTCCCCCAGGTGAGCCTGGACTTGGAGGAAGGCGGCCACGCCTTCTCAGGAACTCAGGGAGAAGCTGGAGCCTCGGCCCCAGAGCCCAAAGAAGGGGAAGACCTTCTGGGTGAAGGAGGCAGTGTAGGTGTAGATGGGCTCCTGGCTGACAGCGTTGGCGAAGGTCACCCAGCCCACCTCGTAGTCCAGGGACACCCGTACCTGCCGGGGCTGCTCCTCTAGGGCCAGCCGCGTGGGGAAGGAGCCCAGTGCCGACACGAAGCCCCAGGCCAGCCTCACGGCCCACACGCCCTCCTCGGGCCGCTGCCTCAGCTCCCCCTTGCGCCGCACATCCTCACGCGCCACACCCACTGTGCAGCTGCCCCCGTGGGCCAGGTCCAGCTTCACCAGCCACGTGTGCCGCCCCGCCGTGAAACCACCACGGGCCAGGACGCAGGTGGCCCTGTCGAAACGCTCAGGGTTGTCTGGTGAGCTCTGCCATTTGTAGGAGAACTGAGCCCGCTGGTGGTCCTCAGATAGCAGGAGTTTCGGGTGGGAGGTCTGGGGGTCCAGAGACAGGAGCGCTGCGGGGAAAGCCCAGAGGGACAGAGACGACAGCTCACTCGTCACCTCCAGAGAAGACCTGAAGGCCCTCCCTCCCACCTGCTAGTGTCACTGTGCACGTCATGCACAGCAGCGTGTGTGTCACCGGGTCACTTGTTACTTTTAGAACCAGCTCACAGTCCCCTCATCCAGGAAGCCTTCCCTGATACACCTTGTCCCAATCCCATATAACCTTTCTCCCTGCTCCTCATGTCTGGCAGTGCCCAGCATAGAGCCCTACAAACTTACCCGTTTCGATTTCAGATGCCCCATGCCCTCCCGTCCTGACCCCCGCTGCTCACCTGGCTCATAGTCCAACTCGAAGCAGAGTTTCTCTGTAAAGAGAGCACGAAACAGGATGAGATCCCCTTAGTCTCATGAAATCACAGAACATTTAATGATAAAGAAACGGTCCCAATGAGGGAAAGGACAAAGACCACCGGTGGTTCTAAACCTGGGCTCAGATCCCTGCAGCGCTTGCCAAAGCCTGATTGTGACTTTGAAGGCCGAGGACCTGGGCTCCTAGCAGGATCCCAGGGTGTGGTCGTGGGTCACTGCCTTTGGCCTGGGTGGGCCTCACCCAGCCCAGGACATACAAGGTGCTCCAGAAAAGGTCTACTCCAAGAGCAGATAAGGGGGTTAATTTATTTATTTTCTTGGAAATAATTTCTGGAATAGGCAACAGCCTTTGATTAGAGTAAAGTGCCCTTCACTGCGGCTCACTGGGCGGAGTGCAGGAGGGACCAAGTGTGGGCCCTTCTGGGCAGGCCATTCGGAGACAGGGCCATCGCTCCTGATGTCCTGTGGGTGTGGGCAGGGAGACGCAGGCCTGACTCACTCTGGAGCATTCACACCTTTTCTCGTCACCACGGCCTGTTCCAGGAAAGCGGGCACAGTCCCCGCAGGGGTCTCCAGCCCACGTGCCCGGCTGTGCGGGAGGAGGAGGAGTGAGCGAGGTCAGCCACACAGGGCGGAGAGAAACAGTGCTTATGGTTATTAATTAACAGTGTTTACCGTCAAAGCCTCATCATGCAGGGGCGCCTGCATGGCTCAGTCGGTTGATCCTCTGGCTTTCACGGTTTGTAAGATCGAGGCCCACGATGCTGACATCGAGGAGCTGCTTGGGATTCTCTCTCCCTCTCTGCCCGTCCCCCACTTGCTCTCTCCCTGTCTCTCTCTCAAAATAAATAAATAAACTTTATATAAAAGAACTTATGCGAGGTGTGCCTGGGTGGTTCAGCCGGTTAAGTGTTATGATCTCAGGTCATGATCTCGCAGTTTGTGGGTTCGAGCCCCGTGTTGGGCTCTGTGCTGACCGCTCTGAGCCTGGAGCCGCTTCAGATTCTGTGTCTCCCTCTCCTTCTGCTCTTCCTCTGCTTATGTTCTATCTTCCTCTCTCTTAAAAATAAACATTAAACAATTTTTTAAAACTTATCATGCATTACAAATGTCTCTTTTTTAAATTATTGAGAAGACAAGTTTTGTTAATCATTATTTTTTATATTGGTCAATGTCAATGGATCGAATTTATTTAATTATTTTTCAAATCAGTTAAATCTGTTTAGAAATCTTCACCTTCGTTATCTCTCCTCAATGTCACATTACCCTGACAAGCATGTTTTATGAAGATGTGCAAATAAGGGATGCCAAGGCCCAGGAGGGGCTCCCGGCCTTGCCAGATGTCACTCAAGCGCGGGGCAGTGCGGCATGGAGGGCGCCCCCTGAGCCCAGGCTTCACGGGTCCCCTTACCCAGAAACATCTTCACCTCCCTCTGCAGTGGGGCGGCCTGCTGCGGGAAGTCCCGAATCCTCTGGCCCAGCTCGGGGGACACAGCCTCTGGTCTCCGGCACTTCCTGGTCTCACATCTAGGGGCAAACAAATGTCGGGATTTGGGAATCATCCCCCATAGGGATGCCCCCGGACTCAGCTGGCCGCCTGCTGACCAGGCGTGGAGATGCAGTTCCCGCAGGCAGACCTTCCTCCCCTGGGACGGACCCGCTGCCCGCTCTCGGCAGCTGTGCGTGGACACGCATCCAAGGGCATGACTGTTTCTGCGTGGGCTTTCGGCCCTGACGTGAGGGTGCAGTGAGCAGACACGTGGTGCAGCGTATGTGTGTGCAAGTGGCAGCGGAGAAGGCAGCCAGGACTCACCTGAGCAGAGTACTTCTGATGTCCTACGAGAAAGAGGGGAGAGCAGATCAATCCCCCTTCCTTACACCCAAGAAAGACAAATCCCATGTTCCCAGGTAGGCAAAGGGCCCCCGATCCCAGAGCCACAGAGCTTTAGAGTTTATGAGGCGTCGGGATCACAGAGGCCAAGCCCTGTATCTTATGCATCCACACAGTCAAGTGTCCCGTCCGCTGCTGGAGGCCCAGGCCTCCTGCTTTCTCGGCACCCCAGCATGCTGCCGTTCTGACGCCCATTGGGACCCCCAGGTCCTCCCTCCTGTGTGCGGAAGTGAAACCGACTGGGAAATACTTCCTGACTGGTGGGGCGACACGGCACAGGGTGCCCTGGAAAGAGCCCTGATGTTGGAAAGCACTCGATGCTTTTCCAAGTGCGACGTGCAGCTGCACTTTCCTATTGGACCCTCACAAACCCCCTGAGAGTCAGGAAGAACAGAGCCCTCCCTGCCGATGGGCCGTGGGGCGGACAGTCAGAGGCCTGCGAGCAAAGGGGTGCAGATGCAGGGTTCAGGGGCGAGCACTCGGGGCCAGGCTCACCGTCAGGAGCCCCCGCGCTGGCCTCTGGCTCTTCCCCTCCAGTTCTGAGATGAGGCTGCTGAAGCGGCAGATCTCCTCCCTGGCCAGCACGTCGAACTCGTCCCGCTGCTTCACGATGTCTGCGTCCAGCGTCTCCAGCTGCGCCAGGAGGACGCTCTGCTGTTCCTCCAGGAACTGGCTCAGGCACGCAAACTCGAAGATCACTTTCTGTCTCTTGGTGGCCACCTGCGACTGAAGGGGCAGGAGGAGAGGCCAGGGCGTCACCTCTCCTCCTTCTTCTCCTTCCTCGGCTTCCTTTCTCTTCCTTACTTCACTTCCTTAGGTCCATGCCCTCCGGGGTTTGGTGGAAAATCAGAGCCCCCACCCCCAGGTCCCTACACAGTACAGCATCCCTCCCCCCTTGAACGGCTGTGGCCCCATCTCCTGGGGCTTCTATGTGTACACAGAGGCGGGTGATGGGAGGTGATATGCACAGCTGGGGGGGGGGTGATGGGAGGTGATATGCACGGCTGAGGGGGGGTGATGGGAGGTGATATGCACGGCTGAGGGGGGGGTGAGGGGGGGTGATATGCACAGCTGAGGGGGGGTGATGGGAGGTGATATGCACAGCTGAGGCGGGTGATGGGAGGTGATATGCACAGCTGAGGCGGGTGATGGGAGGTGATATGCACAGCTGAGGGGGGTGATGGGAGGTGATATGCACAGCTGAGGGGGGTGATGCGGAGGTGATAGGGCACCCCACCTCCTGCCCTTCACAGTGCACACGCCGCCCATGGCTCTGAACTCATTATCTACACAATCTTGTTCGGTTCTTACGGCAATTCCATGAGGTCATAATGATTTTAATCTCACAGAAAAATAAATTTGGGCCAGAGATTTGCATGAGGGAGTGAGGGTTCACACTTAGAGTGACTTGGAAGCCCTCCGTGCTAGGTCACCTGGGTCGGGATGGCGGAGGGGTCTGGGAGGGGACACGGACCTACCAGGAGGACTTGGGTCCTCTGGTTTTCTCTTGCCTGGATTCTTTGAATCTCTTCTTTCTCTTTTCTTAGACACTCAAGACACTTCTGTATCTGCTCCTGGAGAGAAAGAGCCTGAACTATTTAAGACAGAAATAACGACTTGTTAAGAGGGGTCATCTCATCCAACCCCCTGCCTCAGGGGCTTTGGCTGCCTAAAGGGTCTTTTTCTCCTTGCTCTCTGAGAATTTTGATCGGAGCTGTCCTCTTTACCTGTGTCAGCACAGGCTGTGACTCGATTTCCCCACCCTACCCTTCCTGTCTTTAGGAAACACTGCGATTTGTTTCTGGTAAGCTGTCTGTGGGATCTGTCATGAGCTTGATATGCCTTTCTTTGAAAGTATTCCAATTTCTCACTTCTCTCCAGGGGAATGAATTCAAACAACCCTTTCTTGTGAATACAATCAATTTCCTGCATATGATTCCGGAGGAGAGAAGAAACTTGGGTGATGAGAAAACTGTCCATAAATTGTTTTTAGCATTACTTGCTCTAGAAAAGAGTTAGGACGAGGTACACACATGTAAATGTACGTTCAGAAGTACACAGGGGACCCTCACCATCGAATGCACACAGACACCCACATTTACTGAAACACTGTGAGAATGACTAAAAAGAGCACAGATTTAATGAAAGATAAAACTGTGCCCCCCGTATGTTTACCCAACCTGCGTGGAAGCGTTCATTTACTCACAGACATGAGCACTCCCACAGACATTTAGACACGCAGCCAGGCTGCCCTCCCCCAAACCCCCACGCACACTGACGAACATGCAAACACTCCTGTCTGGACCTCACGTTCCTTCACAAACAAACCCCGGGTCCTGACACACCCGCCTGACCCTGTGTGCACACACACACTCTCAGGTCATGGTCACTTGGTCACTCGCAGCATATTCACCAAGCTCCTGTTACGCGTTGGCCATGAGTTAACAACAAAGAATACGCCTAAACACAAACACCAATCTTGCCACGTAGCTGCGTCGCCCGTGTGCTGACAGAGTTGGGGAGACAGACTCCTACCCTGTAGGGCCGGGCCGCGTCCTCCAGGAAGCGCACAGTGTGGGTCCGGTGCGTCCAGGCCTCTCGGCACAGCACGCAGAGCTGCGTCTCGTCATCCTCGCAGAAGAAGTAGATCTTCTCCCCGTGCTCCCCGCACGAGTCCTCCTCGTCCGGGCCCGGCATGGGCTCCAGCCTGAGGCGCTCTATGTTCTCCACCACGCTGGCCAGCTGCCAGTTGGGCCGCAAGCCCGCCGGGCGGAAGGGCTGCTTGCAGAGCGGGCATGCGAGGGCCTCCTCTGGCTCCGGGCCCGGGACCTCACAGTAGCGGGTCAGGCAGCCTCGGCAGAAGTTGTGGCCGCAGTCGATGGTGATCGGCTCCCTGAGGGTGCCTTGGCAGATGGGGCAGCTGACCTCATCCAGCAGACTGCCCACAGAGGCGGCCGAGGCCATGGTGCTGCTGTGCCCGCTGGCTCCTCCAAGTCGCCTTCTCTGCTTGGCTGGGGGAGCCCTAAGGACGCACATTCATCCTCACGGCCGGACACGGGCACGGCTCACACACGCACCGGCACCCTCATGGTCACCTGCACCTGTTGCCCAGAGGAAGGCATCTGCCTACACGGCCGGGTCTTCTGTCCCTGTCCCAGGCAGCAGATGCACACTGTCCAGGACAGATGGACAAACAGCGGAGGAGACGGGGACGAAGGGCCCACAGCTCCAGAGGTGACCCCAGTTACTCTCTGGGCTGGTGTCCCGAGCTTGGGGTTCAGTGTTCCTTCCTGTCCATCCACACACACGTCAGGGCTGCTATCTCGGCCGCCCAAACTTGACAGAGATAGTCCCTCTGGGGGTGGGAGGGAGACTGAGTCACAGAGCAGAGACACCAGCCCAGCCCCTGCAAGCTGTCCCCAGGGAGATTACAGGTATCAATGGGCCCAGGCCAGGCAGTTGACAGGCAGGGCATGTCGGGACCCAGATAGGGTCATGCCCAGGGGAACGTGGCCCAGGCAGCCTCCCCAGGGATGCCCCCAGTGGCCTGCCACAGGCTTCCAAGGAGGCTGCACTGAACCCCCCATGGGGGAAGACAGAGAAAAACAGCAACAGCCAACATTCATGTAGGGTGCCTACACATCCCACACTCCACAGATGCAGGGAATCAGATGAAGAAACGTGATTGTTTGGCCATTACCTGGGCCTGGGGCTCAGGAGGAGGTCCCGGCTGGAGGCCAGGGGAGGAGGCCTGGAGAAGAGGCCAGCAGAGGAGGCCCGGACTGATCCCAGCCCTGCAGCTTCCCAGCTCTGGGACCTCAGG